ACCAAGTCGGATACAAAAGACCTCGGCCTGAAGAATGCCAAGAACCGATAATAACTTTCACTGAAACCGACCTGGAGTTGGTCCAACATCTGCATAATGATGCCTTGGTAGTATCCCTCCAGGTTGGGGAATGCCAAGTGAAACGCATCCTAATAGATCAAGGCAGCTCTTGTGACATCATGTACGTCAGATGTTACAAGGAGCTGGGCCTTCACCCTAACGACCTGGAACAAACCAGCAACCCTATGGTCGGCTTCAATGGAACGCCGACATGGCCACTAGGCGCAGCAAGCATGGAAGTACAAGCTGGTACTAAAAAGATCAAGACAGAATTTATGGTGATTGACACACCCTCACCATATAACATCATCTTAGGGAGACCATGGTTGCATGCAATGGGGGCAGTTCCCTCAATGCTGCATCAACTACTACGGTTCCCAACAGAACATGGGATTGAAGAAGTCAAAGGAGACCAATTGCAGGCAAAAACTTGCTCCATGGCAGCAATGAAGACTACTTGCAGCATTCAAAAGCCAAAAGAGGCAGAGATTAAAGACGAGGACATGGAGGTCCTAGAAGATGTCAGCAAGGAGCCGACCGAAAAAAGTGAAGAGACACTAAAGAAAATCCTTGTCCAGGAGGGCAACGAAAAACGCTTCTTTCTTCTCAGCTCAGGCTTAGCCGAAGAAGAGGAAAGAGAACTGGAAGATTTTTTGAGAGCCAACATTGAGGTGTTCGCCTGGACACCTTACGAGATGCCTGGCATTGACCCCGAGGTCACTTGCCACAGATTGAATGTCGACAGGTCGGCAAAACCAATGATTCAACGAGCCCGAAGACCGACATTGATGCACGTCGAAGCAGTAGAAGAAGAAGTAGATAAACTTCTAGAGGTCAGGGCCATCCGAGAAGTTTATTACCCAACTTAGCTATCCAACACAGTAGTAGTGAAGAAGAAGAACGGCAAATGGAGGGTTTGTGTAGACTTTACCAGCCTCAACAAAGCCTGCCCCAAAGACAGCTTACCGTTGCCCAAGATTGACCAGCTCGTAGACGCTACTTCAGGGCATGAAAGGATGAGTTTTTTAGATGCATACAAGGGGTACCACCAGATTGCCATGTACCCACCAGATTGCCATGTACCCTCCAGACGAGGAAAAAACCGCGTTCATCACCCTTAAAGGCCTGTACTGTTACAAGGTAATGCCTTTTGGGTTGAAAAACGCAGGAGCAACGTACCAAAGGTTAGTAACAAAAATGTTCAAGCACCAAATTGGTAAAACGGTAGAAGTCTACATCGATGACATGGTCGTGAAGACCAAGGAATCTAAGGGACATCTTGCCGACCTAAAAGAGGTCTTTGATATACTCAAAACATACCGGCTCCGACTCAACGCATCGAAGTGTGCGTTTGGAGTTGGATCAGGTAAGGTTTTAGGGTATCTGGTAACGAGGAAGGGCATTGAGGCCAGCCCAGACCAAATCAAGGTCATCCTAGAGCTGCAGAGCCCGACGTCGGCAAAACAGGTTCAGATGCTTACTGGAAGGGCCGCAGCCCTAAACAGATTCATCAGCAGAAGCTCAGACAAATGCAAACCCTTCTTCCACCTGGTGAAAAAAGCCACAAACTTTCTGTGGACAGAAGAATGCGAAGTCGCCTTAGCCGACCTAAAGAAATACTTAACCACAACCCCAGTTCTTTCCAACCCAGAACCAGGGGAAGAACTGTTTTTGTACTTGGCAGTCTCAGAACACGCAGTAAGTGCAGTACTGATCCGAGAAGAAAAAGGGGAGCAAAAGGCTGTTTATTATGTTAGTAAAACCTTGGCCGATGCAGAAACAAGGTATCTACCACTGGAGAAATTAATGCTAGCCTTAGTAATGGCTTCAAAGAAGCTGAACCATTACTTTCAGGCACATAAAATTGTGGTCTTAACAGAGCATCCATTGAAGTCCTTATTACAGCAAGAAGACTTAACAAGAATGATAGCAAGATGGGCCGTAGCCCTAGGTCAGTATGATCTGGAGTTCAGGCCGAGAACAGCGATTAAAGGCCAAGTTTTGGCCGACTTCGTGGCAGAATTCACCCCCGAAACCACCGAACATCGGGCTCTGTTGAGCCAGGATGAACATTGTCCCAACAAGCAAGGAGAATCTCAGCCAAAGACCAAAGAGCAAAGGAAGGAAAAACTCAGACCCTGCAGCATCTACATCGCCAACTCATTCAGACTATTTGTCGATGGAAATTCAAACCGACAAGGCGCAGGGGCAGGAGTACTGTTGATATCTCCAGATGGAGAAATAATAGAACAGTCCATCCGTTTGGGGTTCAAGGCCTCAAACAATGAGGCGGAATACGAAGCATTAATTGCAGGGCTAAAACTGGCAGCAGCAGCAGAAGCAGATGAGGTAATAGATTTTTGTGATTCACAACTTATTGTTAACCAGTCCACAGGTGAATTTGCAGCCAGGAATGAAAGGATGTCGGCATATGCAAAAGTGGTCATCAGATTAGCAGCCCTATTTCAGAACTGCCGACTACTGCAAGTCAGCCGAGATGACAACACCCACGCCGACGCGTTGGCTTACCTGGCAAGTTCAATACAGACTGGAAAAACAAGAACAATTATGATCGACTATATGTCGGGCCCGAGCATAGAACCAGAGAGCACAAAGTAGCAAGCGATGTGTGTGGATATGGAGCCAAGCTGGATGGATGCAATTGTTGCATTCCTGAAAGAAGGAAAGTTGCCAGAAGACCGTAAGGAGGCAAACAAAGTTATATTGAAATCGGCAAGATTCAGTCTGACAGAAGATGGACACCTCTATAGAAGGTCCTTCACTGGACCACTTTTAAGGTGCGTACACCCTTTACAGGTTGAAGATTTCCTGTATGAAATTCATGAAGGAATTTGTGGAAGCCATACTGGGGGCAGATCGTTAGCCCACAGGGCTATTACCCAGGGGTATTGGTGGCCCTACATGCAGAAGGATGCTGAAGCCTACGTAAAGAAGTGTGAACAATGCCAAAAGTTTGCACCTTTGATACATCAGACAGCTGCTGACCTAAACCCAGTATCCAGGCCTTGGCCGTTTGCCTAATGGGGCATGGATCTGGTTGGGAAACTTCCCCAGGCAACTAGCCAGAGAAAATACTTGCTGGTGGCAACAGATTACTTTACAAAATGGATAGTGGCAGAACCACTAGCCAAAATCTGAGATGTGGACGTCAAGAACTTTATATGGAGAAACATCATCACCCGATTTGGGATTCCAAGAGCAATAGTTGCCGACAACGGAACACAGTTTGACAGCAAACTTATCAAGAACTTTTGTGCGAAATTCAAGATCAAAAATTACTTTTCAACACCAAGTTTTCCCCAAAGTAATGGGCAAGCAGAAGCATCCAACAAAGTAATTTTGGATGGAATAAAAAAGAGACTGCAGGCAGCAAAAGGAAAGTGGGTAGACGAATTGCCCAATGTGCTTTAGGCATATCGAACTACGCCAAGAAGATCAACAAGGGAATCCCCCTTTGCCATGGCTTATGGAACAGAAGCAGTCATCCCATTAGAGATCAGCATCCCAGGGATCAAGACCCAGGGAGTAGAGAATGGCACCAATGACATACTCTTGGCCCGAGATTTGGATCTTTTGGAAGAACGAAGAGAAAAAGCGGCAATTCAGCTGGCAGTATACCAGCAACAGCTTGCCAGAGCTTACAACAAGAAGGTTAATCCAAGAGAATTTCAAGTCGGCGACCTAGTCTTGAGAAAAGTCGTCGGCAACAAGAAGGATCCCAAAGAGGGCAAGCTTAGCCCAAACTGGGAAGGACCCTACAGAATTACTTCCGTATTAGGCAATGGAGCTTATCGGCTTGAAGATAACGAGGGCAAAGCACTGCCAAGACCTTGGAACACTTGTAATTTGAAATTTTTCTATCATTAGATGTGCATTATTTTTTGGCCGATGTCATCAATAAAGTTTTTTCAGAGTTCTTTCAACACATATGACTGATAAAATTACGTATTCTTTAGAGACATGAATAATGAGAACCCAAGTACAACTCAGGTTCACATTGGGGGCAGGGAGAACAAGAATGCGTTTACCACTTGTTGAAATTTGTAGCAATTTACAAGTTGGTTAAACCGAGATGATGCTCAACCGAAGTTAAACCGAGATTATTCCTTAATTCACTTGTTGAAATTTGTAGCAATTTACAAGTTGGAATTAAGCTGATTCCTTATCTTCACTTGTTGAAATTTGTAGCAATTTACAAGTTGAAGTTAAGCCGAGATTATTCCTGTTAACACTTGTTGAAATTTGTAGCAATTTACAAGTAGGTTAGACCGAGATCACTATTTAAATACTTATTGAAACTTGAGAAGAAGCTTGCAAAGTTAACATTAAATAGTATATGTTAAACACTTGTTGGAATTTATGAAAAGTTTGCAGGTCTGTATCTTGCCGAAGTAAAACGTTATTATACCCAAGGTATGTAACCCCAAGAAGATTGCACAAAGGAGGCAAAATGGAACGGCATGCAAAATATTCCAAGTATAGAATCATACAAACACAATCAAGAGAAATTAAAGATTAAAGCAGTTGCAGTTGTATACAAGGAAGGCACTACGGCCTACCAGAAATAAAGTTGTATCCAACAAAAGCAGAAGATACATCAGCTAACTAGAAGAGCTTACATTATTTCAAAAACCAGAAGTACAGAAAAGCTTATATTATCCAAAGAAACAAAAAGAGTACGGAAGACATCCAAGTTATGATTCTTTAGTTTCAGGAGCGATTTGGGTCTGGACCTCGGCAGATTCCTGGGGAACTACTTCGGCAGCCTTCTCTGCAGCCAGCTCGGCATCAATCTCCGCAAGCGTTTTATCAAGACTTCTTTCAGCTAAAAGAAGGTCGGATGATAATTGCCCTGTAACAGCTTCCCTAGACGCCTCCCCAACCTCATCACCCTCTTCGTCCAAGGTTAAATCCATGACTTACTCAGTTGGAGGAAGGGACTTGGCCTCAGTAGCATCCTTGGATTTCCTCACCAAGGCCTCATCTTCATTGTTATCTTCATCCTCAACCTCAGATTCTGACTCATCTTCAGCTTGACTTGAAGATGGAGCAGGAGGAGGGAATGGGAGACGAATAGCTTCAACCTTAAGCAGAGGGGAATCTTCAGGAACATTGAGCTTTTTGGCCAGGGACATCCAACCAAGGGAAAAGCCCCTGTTGCATGCCTGCCTAACTTGCAGTTTGTAATCCTCAGTAACATCGACCATTCCTTGGGCGTAAGCTTTTTCATCGGCTTCAGTAATTTCGGCGTTTTTAGTGGCCAGGGCCTCCTCGAGCTCTTTTTCGGCTTGAGCCTTTTTTACCCCGGCATCTCTCTTCTCGGCCTCAGCAACTTTTTTGATGGCTTCAGCAGACTCCGCTTTTTCTTCGGCCATCTGTTGGGCCTTAGTGGCAGCCTCGGCCTGATCTTCCAGCTTCTTCATCTTTATCAGAACAGCTTTGTTCTCCTTTTTGAGAGCAGAAACCTCCTTCTTCATGTCGGCCAACTTCTCCCTTGTTTCGAAAGCTTGCATGGAGAAGGAGTGGGCATGTTGGATGGCCTGAAAGGACACAAGGCACAAATTGTTACAAACCTTTATAAATTAAGAGAGAAAACAAATTTCAACACAAAGGTACTTACTTGGATACAGTGTTGCAGCATAAAGGCGTAATTCTCATACTCACTCATCTTGGCATTTCGCTCAAGATCGCCTGGAAGGAGTAGAGCAGTACTTAGGGCCACGCCGACGTTTATGTCATCGGCACTGTCGCTAGCTAGGACTGGCTTATCTTCCAGAGTAATTTCTGGTCTCCAAGGGACTTTTGGTACTCTCGAACCCGAGGTCGTCGCAGACGATGACCTCGGCTTCTTTGATTGAGTGGATTCTGATAGCTGGGCCTCAGTAGACCTTTTGGCAGAAGTAGAAGCAGTTTTTTTGCTCTCAGCCAATTGTGAGATGGGCAGAGCATCCTCAGCCTCAATCTCAGTGGCTTTGGCCTTGGGCTGAGCCTTTTTAACTCTCTTTGGCTTTGGTGGGGGCATGGTTTGCGTCGGTTGAGCATCAACATCCGTGGGAAAGTCGGCTAGGAGATCTTGGGCGACAGGCTTCGGGCGACCCATCTCAGCAGTTTTGATAAGTCGTCGCCGATGTTTTCTTTCTGGTATTGGGACTAAGAATGGGGCTGAAGTTGATGGTTGGTCGGCTGGATCAGAGGTTGACCCTTGGTCAGCCCGAGATGTTGATGCTGTTTGTGGAGTGGTAGCAGAAAGAGAAGATAGGGTCTTCTTCTTTCTTTTTGGGACGTCGGGCAATGTGGATTTGTATGTCGGAATAAAATTCAGTAACAGGGGAGCCTTGCGCTTGTGGATTGGCAGATCTAGGAGCTTCTTTAAATCTTTTCCTGGGAAGAAGGTTTGGCGGAAGTTTTTTGGTGGCTGATGAAGATCTGCAGGATAAGCAAACAGACATTAGAAGCAGACAAAGTTTTGAAGACTTGGAAAAGAAATAACTAAGTATTGTCACTGGGCTCTTACCCTTGCCCTCTTTAACTGTTCGAGGAAGAGGGTAGAGGTGAACATCTTCGTCTGGACCAAATTCCCAATTTCCCAAGGCAATGACAAAGTCATCCCCAGCTCCCTTGTTGGAATCCGGGAGGTCGGCTACAATTTTGAATTCGGTAGACCTCGGCTTGAGGTAGTAGACATAACCTTTTTCCTTCAGGTTAAGAGGGCACATGGTATAACAGTATTGTACATCGGCAAGGGTGATCCTAACATTCTCCTGCCTAGCCAGGGCTATGATACCATTGATCACTCGATAGGAGTTTATGGCAAGTTGCATAGGGTTCAACTTGTAAAAATGAAGAATTTCGCGAAAAAGAACGTTAAGTGGGAGCCGGAGTCCGCACTCAGTAAAAGCCACTATAGGAAAGGGCATTGAATCATCTGTGGGGATGATAGAGTCACTATCTTCAGCTAGCCTCAGATGAACATCGGCAGGAATAGAGAACTCCCGCCTAAAGTACTCGAGTTTGGTTGGGTATCTACCCTATGTCTCCACATGCCCATAACGTCGGGCTAAAATCAGAGGGCTAGATTTCAAAAAGAAAGTGTTGTCAAGGGGTTATTGGGACCTCGGCAAAAACCTAGGTAAGGACTAATAAGGCTTGTTTCAGTTTTTTCCTAAAAATTGAAGGCTCTACAGACAAAACCCAAACCTAAATCTATGAAGGCAAAGATGGAAAGCAAGATTTAAAAGCAGAGATCTGGAATGGAAAAACAGAAACCCTAGGTAAGGACTGATAAGGCTTGTTTCAGTTTTTTCCTAAAAATTGAAGGCTCTACAGACAAAACCCAAACCTAAATCTATGAAGGCAAAGATTGAAAGCAAGATTTAAAAGCAGAGATCTGGAATGGAAAAATAGAAAACAAAAAACAAAGAACGACGTTTCAAAATCAAAGAACAGAGGTAAGATTCTTAAAAGAAAAGAAAATACAAAAGTAAAAGGTCAAGAACAGTGGCAACAAAGTGTTGAAAACAGTGCAAGTGTCCAAGATATGGGTGAAATCATGAATAGACACATCCAAATAGATAGTTCAGTAAAACAAAGGTTTGAAACAGAGCAGTAATGGCAGTACGTAAACGAAAGCACATAGAAGAAATTGGGAATAAGAGGAGTGAAGGCTTACCAAAACAAAAGATGCCGGAATAAGAGTCGCCGAGGTAAGGCAGCGGTTGCAGACACAACGGAATGACAAAAGCTTCGTTGGAATGGAGGAATGAAGACGGTTGCAGAGCTTCGAGCAAGATCAATGGCGGTTTTGAGAAAATTTAGAGAGAGAGAAAGCCAGAAAGCCGAATACAAAAGTCAAGAAGTGAAGATGAAAAGAAAAGTTTTGTAAAAAACTTGAAACGGCGACAAAAACACGGCATTTATTGTGCCTGGAGGAACGCGTACGTCAGACGGCACAGACGGACGAAAGACGGCTTACAGGCGCATCGCAGAGACGGGCCAATAAGGATGTAACGCGTGAATAAAATGGTTGACAAGTGATGTATGACAGCTCATACGCATAAAGGGATTCATTTGAAGTTCTTATTCCCCGATGAAGACATGTGGGCCTGACGAGAATGATCTCGGCCAAAGAGCTCTTACGCCGAGGTAATAGAAGAAAATACAGATATAGGTTCCATCACCTCAGAATGTCGAGGTAATAGAACCTACGGGGCAGTTGTGGGGATATATTTTCTGAGTACCAACACGTGGCATGGTGACGGCGACGTGTCAGCCGAAGTGCCACGTGTCGTGGTAGTTGTGCCGAGATTATCTTGGCGATGCCGAGGTTGCCTCCGAAGATATCAGAATCCGAGATAAACGGATAAGGGTTAAGAGTCCTGGAGAAAAGAGAAGACTTTACTAAGATAAGGATAAAGCTCTAAGGGAGTTTATCTTTATCTCTTGAGGAATCCAAAGTAAGTACTAAATTGGAGTCCATAGAAGTCAGACTTCTAGTGGAACTTGGATTTAGTAAACTACAAAAGAGAGGCACCCCCGTGGGTCTAAGGTACGCAGTTTTATACTCAAGCTTGTGAGTTTAGCACTTGATTATCTTTGAGAGATATACTGACTTGATCGTCGGAGTGCCCCCGGGTGAAAGAGCCACCGCCGGAGCCTTTTTCTTTCTGTTACAGGTTACTAAAGCCATCTATTCTGCCGGTACTCTCCAGCTAATTACTAGGCGGGCAGTGTGGTCAGAAAATCACCCACACAATAACAATGAATCTCAATGAGTTGCTCGAGTAATTTAAATTTGAGGATAAGATTTAAAATGTTAGATTCAAGTCATTTTAAGAGATTATTAAAAGTTTGTTCGGTCTATTAATTTTAAGATTAGTCGAAGTACGTACAAATAAACCCGAACACTCTAATATAAAATAAATATTTATATCCTCAACAATCAAGAACAAATTTTAGTTGCGATTTTAAAAGTAATGTACTACTGATTCTATTTCATTTGTCTCTTTTCTTTTTTTTCACTCTTCGAAAATAGTGTAATTTCGTCGTGGCATAGTGTAATTTGACTGTGAGATGCGAAGACATTTCAATTTTATTAAGTTTTAATTGAATTAGTTAATGAATGCAAATGCAATGTCATTAGTAAATGAAATTTTACTGACTGATATTTAAAGTCAGTGAAATTTCTTCAAGCTTGTGCAATTTCATTGGTATTATCACTACAACATATATGAGTTTTAGAGACCAAATATTTTGGTCTCAAAAAGTAAAAATTTTGTTATAAAAGAAATTTAGTGGCCAATTTTCATTGTCATGAGGACAGTTGCTAAAATATTGTTGCGAAAAGTCAAAAATAAGACTTTTAATAACAAAATTTTGAAAATGTCACTAATAAATAGACTTTTAGGGACAAAATAATTTGGTCTCAAAATGGTTTATTCTTTGAGATAAAAAATTTGATCTTAAAAGGATAATAATTCATTATTAATGTCTAATTTTTATTATTAAAAATATAATAACGACACTTTTCGTAACAAAATTATTTGAACCCTAAAAAATAATTTTATTCTTAAATTTTAGTCTCTAAAATCAAATTTTTTTTTGTAGTGTGGTAAGAGAAATTTCATTGGTGGTGATGGTAGGTTGATAGCATGTGATAAAGTTAAAGGTCGTGGAGGTAGTGGCGCATTGATTAGCTGAGAAAACACCTTTCTCCTTTTAAAAATAGAAAATGTTTCCTGCACAAATAATTTTATTTTGTACTAATTGCAAAAAATATTTTTTTTGTTGATTTTCATTTTTTATAATAACAAATTTCTAAAAATAAAAAATAAAATAAAATTGTAAACATTTTCTGGAAAGAGTCTCAGAAACAATAAAAATATATATATTTTTCAAAAATATAAACAAAGAGTAGAAGCATAATTTTAAAAATTAAACTAGACCGGTCAATTTGACCGGTTGAATCATCCGTCCGGTTCAACTCCCAAACCCACTCCCTTTCAAGAACTGGCTTAACATTTCAAAAAACTAGTTAACCGGTCAAAACATTTCAAATCACAGTCGAACTAGTTAACCGGTCAACCCGGCACTGGTTCGAGCTAACCGCTCGGACGTGTGTCTCTGCTTTAAAGAGTGCAATATAACACAAAAAAGCTTTTGCTGGAAGTCGAACCCAGGCTGTTTTCGACATGCAAGCATAATACAGCCACTAGGCTGTCTTAACAAGTGCAATATATCATAATACAACCACTATGCTCGTTCAAAAAAAAAACCACTATGCTGTTTTGCTAATTATGGTCTTGTTTGATATAGTTCTTTTTTTTTTTTTTTTGGGACTAAAATTTATAAAAAGACAAAATAAGTTAAAATAATTAATAAGACAAAATTATGTATCAAAATTATGATATTTATATAGTTCTTGATTTTATTTTTATTTTTATTTTCATTTTCAAATAGATAAATATTTAAAATATTAAACATAAAATAAATTAATAATATATTCATAACTTTTAAAATTTATATATTTTAAAAATATTTATGACGTTACGATTCGACTCGACGATTGAACCGATGACCCATCCACCCGATCTAATTTTCAGTTCGGTCACAGGTTCAAGTTTCAAAACATTGAGTAGAAGTTAAAAACAAATAAATAAATAAAAAATGGTTGGAGAGGAGAATTCTATGAAAGAGTCTGATGAGTAACAACCAAAGATGAATGCCAGTTTTATATGACCCCAGGTGAAATGGCACAAGATCTACCTCTTGGCTTGGGTTGGGTTCATGATGATATGTGTAGGTATTATTGATTCTTCCACTTCCACACAACAATTTTCTTATGATTGATTCATTAAAACAGATGTGAATACATAAGCCTGACTAAAAGCAACTCAAGTCCAACACGCCTCTCCCTGTATCTACCCAGCAATAGCAGTAACAATAGCAATATCGCTGGAAACTAAATTAAACACATGCTCTACTCATTATTACATTATTATAGTTCCCATTATTAGTTGAACAACAAAAGTAAAAATGAACACATATACCTCAGGCTACTTATTTACTCCTTTCTCCTTAATCTTGTTAGATAAATTGATAGAGAAAGAGAGAGAATGAATTATGTATTGATGATTTATGTATTGAATGTTGTATTGATTTTCTGTGTATATTACAAGGAGATGTGCACTCTCTTTTATAGAGAGGAAAAGATACATAGGGTGGCATAAAGCAAAGGATAATTATTAAAGCTAACATAATGCTGTGCTAAACATAATGATAACACTAGCAATACTAACATAGAATACTAACATCACTAACATATAATACTAACATATTTTAACAGAACCAAACATAAAAAGACAAAAGGGAAGGGAAAGGAAGATTTTATTTAATTTACTCTATCTGTCTTAAAATATTAGTTTCTTATTCCGTTTTTTATTATCTCAAAATATTAGTCTCTTTACAAAAATTAAGAACTAAAATAATATAAATTTCCTATTGTGTCCTTCTTTTAAATTCATTAACAATACAAAAAATACAATTATGATAATTGATATTCCCAAAAAAATATACTATCACAGGATAATTTAAAAAAATTAATATTGTTAAAATGTAATAATTATACTACCAAAAAAAATTAGATTTCTCAAAAGAGACTACTATTTTGGGAAGAAAGGAATATTTGTTTTTTTTATTAAAATAATGAATCATCAATCAATAATACCGAGGAAAAGTGAAAGAAAAGTGGAAAATAGGAGGGGAGAGGGGACAAACCCATGTGAGGGAGGGGCCACGTCTTAAGGAAAGTGAGGGATGGGGCGGTGGAGATAAAAAAAAATTTTAATTGGATAGTGGGGAGCCGAGTGGAGTGTGGTCAGTATTGGAAAGAGGGTGTTTTCCGTGAATAGCTGAACTTTCTTTTCTCTGTGATTGATGTCCCTATTTGAAGCAAGTTGCAACCTACCTTGCCATCAATCCAAGTAGAGGGCATAACAGCGCAAGAACACTGCTTTCTTGCTGGTCTGGTCCCGAAGCACATGGGCAGCCCTCCGGTACTCGCGGCAGTCCAAATAGGACTTGGCCAGAAGGTAAAAGTCACGGTCTACGGCATCGTTATCGTCCTCCAGCACCGGAGTGGACACATACGATACTCCGGCGATCGGCGTCGAAGTGGGTGACGGAGAGGTGGTAGTGTCCAGAGACGGAGAGATGGTAGTGTCCAGAGAGAGGAAGTGGGTGACGGAGAGGTGGTAGTGTCCAGAGACGAAGGTGCCAACTTTGAATCTAACCCGTCCTTGAATTTTGATGGTAAGAATGACTGTTCCATCGGCCTGGTCCTGGCTGAGTCCAACGCCGTGGTATGGAGCCACGGGGACGTTGACGCCTGACACTATGGGTGACCAAACGTTGATTTCGTTGTGGCCCTGATACGTGGATGGTATGGCGGTGTAGTAGGTGATCTGCTGGTTCTGGTAGATGGCAAAGATGTCGAGCTTATCGTAGTAGACACCGATCTTGTCGTTTGGGTTACGGGATGCGATGGTGACTAGAATGGTGGAGGTGAGGAAGTTTGGTGCCGTGACGTTGAAGGCGTAGACGGTGGCGTCTTGGAGGACGAATCGGGGTTTCTTGGGCTGGAGGATGGCCCATATTAGGAGGAGGATTATTAGGATGATGAAGATCAAGATGAGGAGTCCACCGAAAAACCGTCGGAGCCTCTTCCTCCGCTTGTCCTTGTGGTGGCTGCACTCCTTCTCCGACATATGTTCCCTCCTCTCTTGGTCCTCGTGCTTTTCTTTGGTATTGGTTGGGAGAGAGTGGATGTTCTGTGTGTGGAGCTGAAACCGGCGGAGCGGACACCACAGGAGGTGTGGCCGGAGATTGACCTCCAACGCCGGCGACGACAATGCAGATAAAGCTACAACATAGACGGACCTGCGATCCATATCTACGGCCTCACTGGTGTGAAGGTGTTGATTATTCCCTCAGAGAGACAAGAGTTCAGTGCAGTTATGGAATTTGTGGCAGCGGAATGAAGGTAAGTGTAGAGGTCCGGCGGGCGGCCAAGGCGAGGCTGCCGCCCGCCGGTGAAGCGGAATTACTAAGTTGTTAACCTAGCTTTGATACCATGTTAGATAAATTGATAGAGAAAGAGAGAGAATGAATTATGTATTGATGATTTATGTATTGAATGTTGTATTGATTTTCTGTGTATATTACAAGGAGATGTGCACTCTCTTTTATAGAGAGGAAAAGATACATAGGGTGGCATAAAGCAAAGGATAATTATTAAAGCTAACATAATGTTGTGCTAAACATAATGATAACACTAGCAATACTAACATAGAATACTAACATCACTAACATATAATACTAACATATTTTAACAAATCTTATCATCATTTTGACTAGAAAAAATTATTTTTAAAAAAAATTTAGAACTTGATCCTTATAGCAGAATAAATTTTTAATTTTTAATTTTGTCAATTTAAATTCTAAACTTTTAATTTGTTTTCAATATGAATTATTTATCAATTTTTGTTAAGTAAAATCGATGAAAAAAAAATATTTAGACATTAAATTTAACGTAGGTGTACATAAAATGTCTAAAATATCATTTTTCATTGAATTTAATAACTAAAATACCTATTTTATTTAATAAAAATAAGCAAGTGGTTCAAATTGAAAACAAATAAAAAAATTTAAAATTTAAATTGACAAAATTAAAAATTTAAGATTTGTTTTATTTTGTACTTTTTCCTTTTAACAATTATTATTGTTTTGCAAAGAATAATGCAATAGAAATAAAAAAATTTAGAATCACATTTCAGTCACTTTTTTGCCAACCATTTTAAAATTCTACAAGTTTTTTTCATTTTTCAAAATTTGTTAATTTTAAAATTCTATTTGACTAGAAGGCCCTATTTTGAAACAATTTTAAAAAATCTACTAAAGTTTTGGATTTGTTTTAACTTTTTTTTTTGTCTTTGATATTTTTTTTATACATTAGTTCTTTTATAAAAATAAAAAATAAAAAATCTTAGGGACCTAAAAATTTGATAATATTTTTTATAAAAAAATTCATTAAAGGTGGGAATAAATTTTAAAAAATGTATCCAAAATAACAATTGCTAAAAGTGGAGTAGTGGTAGGTCAGAGTCTATAATTGTCTATAATTGCCGATATAAAAAAGGAAAAATTGCATCAAAAAAATTTATAAAATTATAAAAAAAAGTTTATCACTTCAATTATTAATATTAATAAGTTTTGTCACTGATTTTTAATTTTTTTTTTATTTTTAATCTTTCCACTTAATTGCAACTTTCCGTATAAAAATCAGAAGTAACATGAAAATATGAACGGTGTGTTTGTTTGAACACATTAAATAATAGAGATTGTAATGCAATAACAGTTAAAAGTCTCCAAACGATATTTAATTATTAGTCTAACGTTCACTTTTCTAACTAAATATTGGACTAGTTAATCTATTGAATATAGGCATTATTTGATTAACAGAATTAATAGTGAAATGATTAATAATTACATGAACTAGCATAGGATTAGTTATCTAATTAAATTTGTGAGATAACTATTTATTATGTATTCATTTTTTTTTTCTTTTATACTTGAAATTATTATCCCCAACCCCTCTCAATATTAAAAACTCATCAATTACTTTGGATTGAATATCCACATATAATTCGGTTAATAAAATTTACAATTAAACATAAGATTATGAGTCTGTGGATTAACAATCTCAATCCTATGCTATAATCCTTATAATAAAACATGCACATAGAGTCTAATCTGACGCACAATCCCATAAAACAAATTAATCAATTAACAGACTAAATCACTAGACAGGAAAAATAAAGCAGAAACACAAAAGGAAAATAGAATACAAGAACTAGAAAATATAAGAACTACATTTTCCAAAATTGAAAATAAGGAAGAACCCAGAAACTAAGACCGGTGTTTCACACGGTGTCCTTAAAATAGATTCACCACCTCACTAGAAAGGTCCTTGAGGATACAACTATTGACCGCTACTACAGTGGCACCTTACTGAAGTTGCTTTGGCGAACGTGAACTATCACAATATTCTTTCTTAGAACAGTAGAAGAGACAGAAAATGTTGTTCTGAGAATTTTCAGTGTGTGGATGCTGAAGATGAAGGCCTTTATTGATACACATAAGGGTTGCCTAACCTTAAAAGACCTATTTAGTAGAGGCATTTGTAAGCAGCCCATTTTGACCGGCCCTAAAACTCAGGCGTTTTCTTTTGATTACGCAATGATGAAAACAAAAAGGTGTTTCTCATAACATCTTCAGTAACAAAGATAGAATTTTTGTTTTATTTCCAAATCTGAGCCTATTTTGGCCAAATGTTTAAGTCCAAACTCTTGTTCAAAACCTTCTTTCCGTGCTTCGTTGTGAATATTTCCGTAATATTTTGAGGCTCACTTTTAAACTTCAAAATGAAAACATTTTCTTAGGAAGTAGAGCAAGGAACAATGTGGAAATAGGAGGAAAATATGAATTCTGTCGAAAATCCTATTTCGTGCAAATTAGTCAGGCCTTGACCATTGTTTTGATGTTTTGGCCGGCCAAGCCAAGATTTTGGTCGGCTAGCCAAGAAATTGGCTGGCCGGCTAGTTTTCCCAAAAACAGAGTGGTTTCGACAGAATTCTTTCTAGAAGTGTGTGGAACATGCTATTCCAGATATTTCTTAGTATCGTCATGCATGAGATACACACCTCCTCACCCTCCATTATCTTCTTTTGGCCTCCATTGTCAAAAGAGCATTTGTCTCTTTCCTCAAAAGGAGTATCCAATGCAACCATCCTTGTCACTCTATCATCATTGCCTTCCACCTTGTCCCCTCCCACCTACTTGATTGAGCCTTACAGGGTGTGTATCTACTCATCTCTCATTGTCAAGAAAGCTGGCCTCTTCAACAAAGTCCATGGCCTTTATCATTTTATGGCCTTTATTTTCAACCTTGTCTCCTGCTACCTTCTCCACTAAGCATTCTTGTATTGCCTATATGAAGGTGATTAGATTGTTAGGAGAGGAGAATTAGATTTCAGAAAAGAAAGTTAAAGAGGAAAGAGAGAAGTTTAAGCTTTGAACCAAAAACTCTCATTTTCAAATATACACTACCATACACTGATATATCATCCTTGATGTACCAAAACCATCACAAAATCTCTGATATAGCCAAGCCTTAGAATCCTTGATCAAAAGTGAGTGAGTGTTCTTTAAAGAAGAGAAACCCCCCCCCCCAAAAATTCTACTAAACACAAAAATGCACTTAACGGTAATGGCTCTGGATGATACCTCGCTGGATCAAAAGGTTGTACACTTAACGGTAATGGCTCTGGCTCGGCCTCGATGTCCGCCTCGAAGTCTACTAGGGGAAGCTCGGAAGGAGCCCCATCATGAGGAAAATCGTCTACCATCTGAAAATAGGTGCGAGATGGGTGAAAAGTGAAGAAAATGGGTAAACTTGGAAAAAGTCAACCCTAAGAGAGAGAAAATTAAGGAAAAAGTCAAATTCGGGAAAAGTGCACAGAACTCAAGAGAAACTCGAGGGAAATGAGCCCGGAATGGTGGAAATAAGAAACGAAATGTCAAAATCAAATTCCAATCGGTTAAAAGCGAAGAGAACTAGGAGGATTTAGCGAATAATATTTGTGTGGGGCATTGAAAAACGCGTAAAAGGCTCAGATCTAGAGAGGGGAAGCACCTAGAGAGAGAGAGAGGGCATTTTCGATCAAAAAGGTGTGAGGAAATGAGCCCTAGTAGCTTGTATTTAAAGGCCCATGCTTGAAAAGTCAATTTTGCCCCGAACTGCCATCGATGGCCGGCAAGGCACCATCAATGGCCAGTAAGGCACACTGGCAGTCAACAAGGCACACCAGTGGCCGGTAGGTAGCCGACGGCCCCCTCTTGTGGCCGACAGGTTTCCAAAGGTCTTCTCTGTGTCCTTAGTTCTATTTTGTGTCCTTGGATTTCAAAATTGAAGGGATTGTTCATTATTAAGTTCAGAATGCCTCTATGGAAGCTCAGAACTGCATTTACAGTGCACAATGTTCGTCACTCCTTAACATAAGCAAGATGTATCCTTTTGAATATTTTGCAACTTTTCCGAGAGGCAAATCGGAAGTTGTTCTTGAATTGGTTTTAACGGATATGCTTTTGTTGTCGCATAGAATATGTGTTTCTTTGTTATTGCATGGAATGTGCATTCCACTTATACTGTCGCATAGAACATGCTCTTAATCTAGCTACATAGAATGTGCTTTCGCTCTTGCATTATGCATAGAACATGCTTATTGCTTTCGCTCTTGAATCATGCATGGAATATATGCATTTGTCTTTGAATCATGCATAGAACATGCTCTTACCCCAATCATGCATAGAATATGCTCTCAAATTGTTTGGTTCGCATAGAACATGCCATTATATCTCAGTTGTTATCTTACGTAGAATATGCATTTCATATTCGTTACACGTGCATAAAATATGCGCTTCTCCATTATTGCATAGAATATGCACTTTTCTATTGTTGCATAGAATATGCTTTCATTCTTGTTTCTTGCATAGAAAATGCACTGCCATTATATAACACACTTTTGTACACAGACAAACGATATTGTATGTACAGTCCATTCAGAGGAGTTCCAGGTAATCCTTCGAATCACATCCTTTTACTCCCTCTCCTCGAGCGTGAGACGCGTTAGGATTACCGTCCTGTGGTTAAAAACATTTGAGTGTATCCTGATGTTCATTACCTCCTTCGGTTACCGTCCTTCGATTAAAAACATTTGAGTGCGTCCTGATGTTCATCACCTCCTTCGGTTAAAAATATTTGAGTGCGTCCTAATGTTCACCACCTCCTTCGGTTACCGTCCTTCGGTTAAAAACATTTGAGTGCGTCCTGATGTTCACCACCTCC